CAACCTGTGAGGAACAACCTGTGAGGAACATCCTGTGAGGAACAACCTGTGAGGAACAACCTTTGAGGAACAAGCTGTGAGGAACAACCTGTGAGGAACAACCTGTGAGGAACAACCTGCTGATTCCTCACTGCTTAAGGCTGAGCTGATGGGACCTGTAGCACTGCCTGAGTATAGACATTTTGTGAATTGTCTGTGGGAAACATCTTGAAAAGGAATGACACTGAACTGTAATCAGATGTTGACATACATTTAAAGATTACTTTCTAAATGTTAGATTAAAATCCATATGGTAGTTTTTCGAGTTATTTTGGAAACAGACAAAAAAAACAGACGTAAGCAAACACATTGTCATGAGTTTTAAACAAATCATTTAACCATTGATGTTAGGATGGCGCTCCTTAATTATGTGTGGGGGCCATCTTAAAAAAGATTAATCCCAAAAGTTAATCAGATGGACTTGGTTTATTCAGATCTGTCCAAGTTCATGGGATATTTTGCTAACAGACAGACAGACACAGAAAGCTACAAAAAGAGACAAACTTAACATGTGTTGAAGAAGTTGGTGAATAAAAGTGTTAATATTAATAATAATAAACTGAGCAGCAGCCTGAATGCAAACAGCTGTTCGGTGAGGAGCTATAAATAGGAAGTGACGTCATGGTGCGGATAGCGCGTCTATTTCTCTAATCATCATCATCATCATCACACCGTTGAGCCCACGCAGTACAGCTGACCGACCCTCCTTTTCTTACATGGACCGGAACCCGGCAGTGTCACGTGGCCGCGGCTCGCGGGGCTGAGCAGCTGCTCAGACCGCACCATGGCCGCGGAGGAAGCGGCCGGAGCTGCGCTCCCCCGCGTGGCTCCGCTCCCCCTGTCCCGCCTGCTGCTCCTCGGCTGCTGCTGCTCGCTGCTGCCCGGCCCGGCCCTCGGTCTGCTGGGCTTCCGTCCGGAGGAGACCGGCGCGGAGCTGTCCGTGCACGACGGGGTGCTGAAAGTCACCGAGGGGACCCGCTTCATGCTGCGGGTTTACTACTCCGCCTCCCCGCAGAGGCTCGAGCGCACCGCGGGCACGCGTGCCAACAATGCCGCGCCCTGGATCGCCTTCATCGAGGAGCCAAGTCCCGGGAGAGAGGGACAGGTCCACCCCAAGAGGAACATGTGTATGGATAAAAATGCCAGGACGTCCGACATTGAGATCCTGGGCTCTTTCAAGTCTGCTTCCAGTCAGAACTCGGTTTTGGTCGAGCTGCTGGCCAAAGACCTGAGGAGGGGGGAGAAGATCAAATATTACTCCATGTGTGCGTTCGATGGATCCAAATGGGAGCACTACAGAACCAGGGACTTCTGGGTGGCGGTGACGGAGCGCTCCTCTGCCCCGGAGCTGTGGCTCCAGGTGCTGGTCTCCATCCTGCTGCTCGGGCTCTCAGCTCTGTTCAGCGGGCTCAACTTGAGTCTGCTGGCGCTGGACCCGGTGGAGCTGCAGGTCCTCCAAAACAGCGGCACAGACACCGAGCAGAACTACGCGCGGAAAATTGAGTCTGTGCGTCGTCACGGTAACTACGTCCTGTGCACCTTGCTGCTGGGAACCGCCATCATCAACGCCTCTCTGGCCGTGTGGATGTGCCAGATCCTGGGCATGACCTGGCTCTCCACGGTCATCTGCGCCTTTGGCATCTTCTTCATCGGAGAGATCCTCCCACACTCCGTGGCCTCGCGCCACAGCCTCGCCATCGCGTCCAAGACCATCTGGGTGACGCGGCTGCTGATGGTGCTCTCCTTCCCCATCTCCTACCCCATCAGCAAGCTGCTGGATCTCATCCTCAACCAGGAGATCTCCAACTTCTACACCCGAGAGAAGCTCCTGGAGATGCTGCGCGTCACAGACCCGTACCACGACCTGGTCAAAGAGGAGCTGAACATCATCCAGGGTGCGCTGGAGCTGCGCACGAAGACAGTGGAGGACGTCCTGACGCCGCTGACGGACTGCTTCATGCTGGCCTCGGACACCGTGCTGGACTTCAGCACCATGTCTGAGATCATGCAGAGCGGATACACGAGGATCCCGGTGTTTGAGAACGAGAGGTCCAACATCGTGGACATCCTGTTCGTTAAGGACCTGGCCTTCGTGGACCCGGACGACTGCACCCCCCTGAAGACAATCACCCAGTTCTACAAACACCCTCTGCACTTCGTCTTCAACGACACCAAACTGGACACCATGCTGGAGGAGTTTAAGAAAGGTGAGTCTGAGGCAGGTGGACCCTGCGGGGGGGGGGGGGAGACCAGCCTGCATGTGTGTCTGTGTATGCTTGATTGTTAGCAAAATATTTCATGAAGCACTGAACAAATGTTGTTGAAGTCTTGGAAAGTAATCAGTTGATGTACATCCACAACTGATTACAGTTTAGAGTCAGTCCGATTCAAGATGCTCTCCACAGACAACTGACAGAAACACAAGGCTGCACTTGAACATTCATTGAGCTGAAACCTGGTGTCAGTAGCTGAGAGTCATTCCCAACTTGTACTCTGAGCTCCAAACTGTGAGATCTATGTTTACAACATAGCCATGTGGAGTCAACCTTAGCTGCATGTTAGCTAAATATCTCACAAACGACTTGACGATTTGAGTGAAACTCTCAGGAAGTTATCGTTGTATGTGCATCTACAACGGATTGACTTCTGAGTCACCTCAGTTCAAGATGGCTACCACAACCAATGTTTTCTATGAAACACAAAATGACTAACAACCAGATTTACAGATAATGAGCTAAAACTAGAAGCCATGTCGACATGCAGCACCACACATTGTGCCACAACTAGTTGAGGTTCATCTCCAAACTTTCAGTCTGTCAGCAAAATACTGTTTCCCTCAAACCACTGGATCTGTTGAAGTCATCTCTGATGGTACATCTACAACCATTAAGTTTTGGAGTCAAACCAGTGCAAGTCAACATGAAAATGGAACTAACTCAATTTAATTCAGTTTATTTATAAAGCACCAAATCACAACAAAGTTGTCTCGGGGACTTTACAGAAACATTCACATAAAAGACAATTAGTAAAGTTCTCTATCTAAGGAATCCAACTCAGATTATTGGACAGATCCTGAGCTCATGTTATGTGGTAGTAGCTGACATTCATCCTCAACACAACACTGGGGCGGCTGTGGCTGAGTGGTTAGAGCAGTCGTCCTCCAGTGCAAGAGTTGGGGGTTCAAATCCACCAGCAGTCACATGTTGAAGTGTCCCTGATGTGATCCTCTGATGTGTGTCCCATCAGTGTATGAATGTGATCTAAAGCTCTGATTAATCTTTGTAGAGATCTAGTATAGAGCTGTATGAATGGGTAAATGAGGCACAGATTGTTGTAAAGAGCTTTGAGTAACTTGAAAGATAGAAAGGTGCTGTATAAGTACAGTCCATTATCTGGAATCTCATGATGTGACTGGGATCAATCAAAATATTATTTTCAAGGTTTGACCAAAACTTCAACTCAGTCTTTAATTTAAAGTCTGCCATGAAAGGCAGCAGATCCCTTCGACTAAAACACTGTCTGCTTTCCAGTTTGGACATCCTGTGTCTTATTTATGTTTACTTGTTTCTAGTCTAACCTCTTGAAAAAAAACAACAACAACATTTAGCAATACATGAAATCAGCAAGCACAGGAGAAAACTACGTTTAAAGAAAACAACCAACCAGTCTACATGTGCTTTGTGGACTTGGAGAAGGCGTTCGACCGCGTCCCTTGGGGAGCCCTGTGGAGGGTACTCTGGGAGTATGGGGTACCGGGCCCTTTGATACGGGCTGTTAGGTCCCTGTTTGACCGGTGTCAGAGCCTGGTCCGCATCGCCGGCAGTAAGTCGGGCTCATTCCCAGTGAGAGTTGGACTCCGCCAAAGTTGCCGTTTGTCACCGATTCTGTTCATAACTTTTATGGACAGATTTTCAAGGCGCAACCAAGGTGTTGAGGGGATCCATTTTGGTGGCCTTAGGATCGCTTCTCTGTTTTGTGCAGATGATGTGGTCCTGTTGGCTTCATCAGATCGTGATCTACAGCTTTCGCTGGAGCGGTTTGCAGCCGAGTGTGAGGCAGCCGGGATGAAGATCAGTTCCTACAAATCCGAGGCCATGGTCTTGAGCCGGAAAAGGGTAGAGTGCCCTCTCCGGGTCAGGGAGGAGGTCCTACCCCAAGTGGAGGAGTTCAAGTACTTCGAGGTCTTGTTCACAAATGAGGGAAAAATGGAGCGTGAGATTGATAGGCGGATAGGTGCAGCGTCTGCAGTGAAGCGGGCGCTGTACAGGTCTGTCGTGGTGAAGAGGGAATTGAGTCAAAAGGCGAAGCTCTCAATTTACCAATCGATCTACGTTCCTACCCTCATCTATGATCATGACCTTTGGGTTGTGACCGAAAGAACGAGATCTCGGATACAAGCGGCCGAAATGAGTTTTCTCCGCAGGGTGTCTGGGCTCTCCCTTAGAGATAGGGTGAGAAGCTCAGTCATCTGGTTAGGATGCCTCCTGGACGCCTCCCTGGTGAGGTGTTCTGGACACGTCCCACCGGGAGGAGACCCAGAGGAAGACCCAGAACACGCTGGAGGGACTATGTTTCTTGGCTGGACTGGGAACGCCTCGGGATTCCCCCGGAGGAGCTGGACCAAGTGGCTGGGGAGAGGGAAGTCTGGGCCTCCCTACTTAGGCTGCTACCCCCGTGACCTGACCCCGGATAAGCAGAAGAAAATGGATGGATGGATGGATGGATGGATGGATGGATGGATGGATGGATGGATGGATGGATGGATGGATGGATGGATCAGTGATAA